CCAAGTGGGCGCTTTGCTGTGTTTACTTTCAGCACGACTGATCAAAAAAATTGCATTTCAAAGCCGGCCACTTTGCGCTCCTGGGCAGCGAGCGAGCTGGAGGCCCTGCCGGTGGGCTGGAACCTCCCGGCCCAAAACACAGCTGAGCTGTGGATTCAGGGGCTGCCCTCTGGCCGATGGATGGGGCTCTTCCTGCTCCGAGCAGGCGGGAGCCGTGCCGACCTCCCGGGGGGGGACTTGGAGAACCCATGTGAGGTGCTTTGAGAAAGCCTGGAGAAGCGCTTTATAAATACAAAGTATTATCATCCGTGGTGACTTCACGCACGTTTTTGGTTTGTCGAGACAAGTGTGTCCCGTTTCCTGGCTCCCTCCCTCCAGAGACCCCGCGGGGCTTGTGCTCGTTGGCCAAGGGCAGGGCAGAGACGCCCTCGGGGTCTCTTGGGGTGCGCTCAGTGCCAGGGCTTGTGGCGTTAAATGGGGCTGCTTCGTGTGTGCAAAGGGTGCCTGACTCGGCCCCTGGCCAGAAGAGGGTCGGGCCTGCTAAGAAGATCTGAAGCCCAGCCTCCCCCCCCAGCATCCATCCCGAAGACAGCAGAGCTGTGTGTGCGCGCGCGCACGGGGGTCAGCGGAGGCAAGGGGGGGCTCGGCCTTCTGGGACAGCCACCCCTGGGAGGCTCTTCTCAAGAAGAAACCCTGTCCTCGCTGGGTGTTCCTCCTCCCCCCCCCACAGTCACCCATCAATATTGCACGTGAGCACACACAAGGCTGTGCTGCTGGCGTGTGATTATTTGTGCACAACGGTTGGGGCTGCCTGGATAGCCAGCGGTTGGAGGGACCCCAGGGCTTGGCACTTCCACGGCAGAGAAGCCCCTGGGGGGGGAACGAGAGAACCTCGGAGCCAGGTGTCCTCCTGGGGGGGCCCTCTTGCGGCCACCCCTTCCCTCTGACTTGGGCTTCCCCCTGGGTGGGGACAGAGGACGGCCGGGCCCTGTGGAGTCCGGCCCGCGAGCCCGAGGCCAAGCAGCTGCCAGCTCGCTCTACCCCAGCCCCATCCCCCTGACCTGTGGTAGTTCTCTCACGAGTGAGTGATGGGGGGGGTTGCTGTGAGTGGCCCCAATCCTGACCCCTGGGGTTTGGG